AACTCAGTACATTGACCTGCGCATAACAGATACACAGTCCTTATCTCTCAATCTGTCTACCTAATGTAACCACAAAACACAGCAAAGGAAAATTCAACTATAAATAATGTTTAAGGAAGAAAGAAATCCTAAAGACATAGATATCAGAATGGTCCTACCTGGTAAAACCCCCATCCAAGAGGCCAATAGTTTGGGGGATATCGTCCCCAGGCTATTGGGGTTCACCAAGGCTACACTCAGCAATACAGAGGAGGTCATGTGATTCCTACAGATTTGGGGTCCTGTACATATTGGGCATGCCCTCCAACCTTAGAGCCATTTCCCTAAAGGAGGGCCAAGTTAAATTCCTCTTTATATTTTAACTTATTCATAAAGTTCTTAGCATGATGGTTGTTGTATGAAATAATAAAAAAAAACTACACTGGATATCACCAAGTGATAAAATTAAATATTGTTGAGATATTTTATCTATGTTATCTAGATCTTTATAATTTTGATAAATTAAAATCAAATTCATCAATTTGAGGTAATTCATGAAATAGTGTGTAAGTCACCTTACCTACTAAGATGACTAGCAAACAGAAAATACTCCAGGAATCTAGTGACTAAATCAATGGTAGTCATACAGTAAGTGTCACAGTATCTTACTTAGAGTAACCAATAACTGGCTACTATATTGTAAGACAAAATTATTTGCTTCACAATTAAAAATAAGTTTCATTTATCTAGCCAGGCACAAAAGTATTCTGTATTTGTTTTCTCTTTAAATCCTCTTACCAATTCTACTGCTCTTTCTATTTTGCAGATAAATAATCTCAAAAAGACTAATTTGCCAGAAGTCCTACATATACCAGGAATGGAAATAGAAAGGGGAATGTTTGGCTTTGAAGTCTCAATCCTGATGCTTGATCCTTGCCCTGTCTTCTTCTGGAAGAAGCCCTGAGTATTGTGGCTCTGGAAACCCTTAAGAAAATAAAATAAGCAAATTTCTTGGAAAAAACTTTTGGTAAGTTCAGTCTTCCATCCTCCCAGTGGCCTTGAGTCAGAATCCCCATGTCCCCCATCCAACCTGTTTCCAACAACAACCTCAAGGATTGAGTAGAAACACTAAAGTTCAGATGGATCCTAATATCCAATTTCCAACGTCTTTGCTTCCATTTAGTAATTTAGGCCTTTTGAAAACATGTGAAGTAGATTCTAATTTTATTCCCATTTTCTAGAAGAAGTTGAGACTCAGGAAGTCAATTTACTTGCCCACGCACATGTGGCTGATTTGGGCTTCACAAAGATCATCTGGTTTCCCAAACTATTTAGCCACCATCATAGTGTCTAGAAACTACCAGTTCAGATGTTACTCTTGATATACAATTTTAGTCATTGCAACCATCTAATGGATGCTTACTGCTTGCCAGACATTGTTTTAAGAGTTTAGAACTTATCTGATCCTTCTGTCAGAATGATGGGGTTACATTACTTAGTTACATTTTATTGATGAGGAAACCAGACTAATAGCCAGAAGAGGTAGAGTGGGCTTTGAACTCAGGTCTGGCTAATTCAACATGAATAGTATTCCTTCAAGTCTCTTCTGGTATCTCTGTTCCTCACTACTAGACTTTGGATTTTTTGTTCTGATTGCTTTGTCTTTGAGATCTGGTCCATATATCTTGTATTCTATGTTTCTTGGGAGCTATGGTCAAGAAAATTACAGAGAAATACAAAAAAAAATGGACATCAGATATATACTCTCTAGGGCGTTCGCCTTACAAGCGGCCAACATGGCCGACCGAGTTCGATTCCTCTGCCCCTCTCGGAGAGCCCGGCAAGCTACCGAGAGTATTCAATATGCCAAACACAGTAACAACAAAGTATCCAATGGAGACGTTACTGGGCCCGCTCGAGCAAATCGACGATCAACGGGAGGGCCTTTGCTACCGTTATCACAAGTAACTGGTTTTCTTCACTTTATCTACAAAGGCATCAGGGTTGCACCCACACAAAGACTTCAAACAGGGGAACATTTGGAGAGTTGTCCTGCTCTGCTACAATATATTCATTTTAAAGAGTGTAAGATAAAGCACAGTTTCATTAAAAAGAAACAAAAAGAATGGTTTCATCGAGTAAAAGCTATATAAAATCATCCCTTGTGTGGAATGCCCTGATCAACCTTGGCCCCAGAGTCTAGGGAGGAGAAGGAAAGAAAGAGTTGAAAGGAAGGGAGTTCAGAGACAGATGAGAAGCCTGGGAACATTCGTGGAGGGAGACTGACATTGGTGGTGGGATTAGGTGCCGCAATATTGTATGTCTAAAAGTCAACTATGAATAACTTTATAAATCATGGTGCTTTAATTAAAAATGTGAAAAGAAATTATCAAGGAGAGGGTATGGTGCCACCAGCAGGTCAATCTGTACCTGTGAGGCGAGTGTATCAGCAGCCTGGTAGCACCGTCAGGCCTTCAGATACCCCAAAATTGCTGCTGTGCCTTTGGCCAGACCCTAAGAACTTGGGGCAAAGTTTACCAAGAAAGTAAATGGCCAAAAGTTAGGTATGTGGGAAACATACCCACAAACCACCTCTGGCTCAGCTATATAATTGGAGGCATGGCCTCTCTGGTTCCTCATCAAACTGCTTAACAGCCATGATCCCAGAGGATCAGAAACGAATCTCGGAACCCAAAAGCTTTTGGCAGAAATGTGTCCTGTTCCTGCAGTAGGTTACTGGGGCTAGGCCTCTCCAGGTGGGAATAGGTTTCGTGCCTTGGCCTGTTCCCCGTGGTGGCCTGGTGACCGTCATTCTCCAGAGGCCACAGGACAGGTTTGTGCCTGCAGTGACGAAGCACACGGGGCCTCACCAGATGAGGGTGGAACCGGCCCTTTCCTCCCCATCCCAGGGAGACCTCGAGTCGCCGCCTATAAACGGCCTCTCTGGCTCCTGATCAAGCTGATTAATAGCCATGATCCCAGAGACTCAGAAACAACTCTCGAAATCCAGCAGCTTTTGGCAGAAATGCATCTGGACCACATACACGGCCATGGCTCCAGAGGCAAAAGGACTTAATCCAGAGCCCGACAGCTTGTGGCAGAAAAATGAATGGACCATGCATTAAACTACGGTGCCATGCCTCCCCAGAAGGGAAAGGGTGTTGCTCCCTTCTGCCTTTCTCCCCACTGGCAGCAAGGTGGCCACTTCCTCAGAGCTTATTGGAAAGCCAGGTATGAGACGGCAGTGACAGGGCAACTGCAGTCTCATGGGAAGGGTGGGCAGTACTGGCTCATCCTTCATGCCCTACCAAGGTCACTAGTTGCCCCCAACAAGCGGCTCTCCGACACGGCCATGACTCCAGAGGCAAAAGGACTTAATCCAGAGCCCAGCAGCTTGTGGCAGAAAAGTGAATGGACCATGCGTTAAACTATGGTGCCATGCCTCCCCGGGAGGGAAAGGGTGTTGCTCCCTTCCGCCTTTTCTCTCCCCCCACCCCCCACACCCGGCAGCAAGGTGGCCGCCTCCTCAGAGCTTATGGGAAAGCCAGGTATGAGCAGGTGGTGATGGGGCAACTGCAGTCTCATGGGAAGGGGGGCGGTACCGGCTCGTCCTTCACACCCTACAGAGGTCCTGAGTTGCCCCCCACGAGCAGCTCTCCAGCACAGTCATAACACCAGACGCACAGAAACGAATCTCCAAATTATCTGGCTCTTTGCAGAAATCCAAAGTTGCGCGGCCGCAACAGCAGCCATGCAACATTATATGATTCTCATAACCAGCTATAGAAAACAAAGTATTTCACAATGCCTTTTCAGCAATTCTGATTGTTGGGGAGGGGAATTCTAAACAATAATGGTGCATCTTTTGTCTAAATGATGAATGTAATCAATGTAGAGAAGAGTTAAGTAGAAATCATCTGCCTCACAGGTATTGGGTGGGGTGGGAGGGGGGTATATTGGGGCTCTTGGTGGTGAAATGTGAGTACTGATGAAGGGAAAGGTGTTTGATCATTGTATGACCAAGACCTAAACCTGAAAGCTTATCTTTTCCCACGGTGATTCAATAAATAAATATAAGACGAAAAATAAATAAATAAATAAAACTATGAAAAAAAAAAGTAAGGTGGAGTTCATGCCCAATTCAATCAGCTAATCAGTGGCTGAATAAATAGCAGTACTCCTACATAAAAAATGATCAAGGATGTCTAAGATAAAATATATTATATAAAATTATAAATATATATACTTTTTAAGTATAAATAAATTATACTTTCATAATTAAAATATTAGTGTGGTAACTTTCTAATACCCTGCCAATAGGTAGAGAAGAAATAGGTTTTCTTAGATGATATCTCATGTATACATATAGAAATTAAGCATATTTGTACATAAGATGACAAACAGAATTCTTAAAAATGATCACTAGTGGTCTGGGAGATAGCACAGTGGGTAGGGGACTTGCCTTGCACAAAGCTGACCAAGGTTTGATCCCCAACACCCCATGTTGTCTCATAGGAGTGATTCCTGATCACAGAGCCAGGAATCACCCTGAGCACTGCATATGTGGCACAAAAGAATAATAATCACTAGTGCGGTTAGTGTTTATCGCTATAGAACGTTTTCTGATATTGTTTTACCTTACATGTTGAAAATTGGAGGTCATAGTAATGCAGTTAAAATTGTTACTGTCTTTAGCAAAACTACCTAAGGCATTTTTAAATCATGCTTTGCATTTTCTAATGAAAATGTAATCTACTGATAATATGCATTTTCTTTCCCTTTCAGTTTTACAACTAATTTATACATTAAAAAAAAATACCTATAGGGCTAGAGCGATAGCATAGCGGGTAGGGTGTTTGCCTTGCACATGGCCGACCCGGTTCGATTCCCAGCATCCCATATGGTTCCCCGAGCACCACCAGGAGCTATTCCTGAGTGCATGAGCCAGGAGTAACCCCTGTGCAAAGCCGGGTGTGAGCCAAAAAGCAAAAAATAAAATAAAATAAAAACAACCTATAATTTAAAAAAATAGGATCATCCTTACATGTTCCTCTATTCAGAGGGCAGATAGAACATGATGGATGGAGTTTCATAATTCGTGATTTTTAGTGTCTCTGTATGATTAGGGCTCACAACACCCTAATAATTCCTATCCCATTCTTCCAGTGGAGGGGCAGGGGAGGGAAATCATCCACTGACCTTGAGACAAGCATTAGAAAAGGAAGTCAAACATGCTCAAAGTAGGAATTGCAAATGCTAACTAAAATGCCCTTTGGCATTATAGGTCTTCGACCCTTTTAAAATCAGGCTGCAGAATCTATAATAACCTGCTACAAAATGAATAATTTAAAGAGATGATGTTAGGTGTTTTCTAAAAATAAGCATAATACATCGTGACCATTGGAATCAACACTGTCAGAAAGAGGTTTTCGCATTAACTGAGCTGATAAATGCTCCTGAGTATAATTTGTGCTGTCTAGGAATGATAGTCATAACCCTAACATTGGTATGAATTTAGAGTGAGCAATGCTTGTTTTTTTGCATCTATCATATTTTGCTTAGTCCTCACTACAGCACATTGAAATCCACAGGATTTTTATTTGAACACGAAGAAATTAAATTTCAATCTCCTAGAATTCAAAGCTACTGGATTTTGGTGGGGGGGGTGTTATTTGTTTTTAAATTAATATTAATTGTGTTAATACTAACATTATTAAATAATAAAAGGTTATGGAAGTGCCTAGAAAATCAAGTACACTCCTTCCCTCCCTTCACATTCATGCCTCACTTTTGGCTCCTTGTGTTTTGCAAGGGATGTTGAAAAGTGAGCTGAATAGATGTGGTTTCTCACTTCTGGATGATGCTAGTTGGATATAGCAATGCCCATCTAAAGAGTAGACACTTTCTCATCAGCAAAATGCTATGTAGGGCATTGCTGATTCATAGCGAGCTTTGGTGCAAGTTACAAAAAAACTACCTTCTCTCTGAATTCATGTTATCCCCTACACAGACACATCTATTGGTGTGCACATAGCTAGTGGGTTTCCTCCTAGTTTGGCACTCAGGAATCACTTCTGGTGGTGCTTGGTAGGCTATATGTGGAGCAGGGGATGGAATCTGTGCTGGCCATATGCAAGGCAAATTCCTTGCAGCTGACATTCCCCTCTGCCTGGCGTACTCTCTCCACACATCCCTACACAGTCATTCCCTCCATTCTTCCTCAAATTCACCCTCTCAATCAGGTATACCCGAAATACATTATCCCAAATCCCAGCCCTCTCTACCCCAAATTACCCCACAACCCAGCACTTAGGACCTTCCTTACTCTACTCTGCTTTTTAATTCATTCATTTAGTACAGTCATGTTCTCTAGAAGAATAGAATATGGAAAGGCTATTTAACTCTCTTCAGGAAATGAGAGCTTCAACTGTTTAAAGACTCACTTGAACGTAGAATTAACACAAGATGAGAGCAGGGGACCAATCTGAGTTGCAGTGATGATCAATTTTCTCCTGACCCTAGCTTTGCATCCTACTGCCCTTCTACCTTACCCTGTCTGGTCCCTGCCCTACTGGGAGACTGTTATGTCACAATTCATTGGATAATCATTGCAGATGTTGTACACATTTTGAAAAAAATAATAAAACCTGGGTATAACCGCTTGATAAATTATTTATTTATTGCTATTTAATTATGCTGTTTTACTGAAAAAGAGTGCAACAATTTTGCAGTTGTGACTGTTATATGATGAAATACGTTATACTGAAAAGTTGGATGAAGTTCTTTGCTTTAAAATTTACCCAAACACTTTGGAACCAACAAAATAATCTCTTCCATTTGCCCCAGAGAATCCAAGAAATGGGTTAATGTCATCTGGCTACTTACACCGTCCTGGGTGATCTCAACTACCAACCCGCTGATTGCTTTGCTCCCCCCAGTGCCCAAGTCTTCAGAGAGGACAGAGAGATGCACACAGATAGAGCAGCCAAACACCCTAGCAGAGAACGCAGAGAGCAGAGCCAAGCACAGTGGGCAGAAGACAAAATGTTTGTGTTCTTTTATTTTGGGGGTTTCTTAATGAAGTGTTGAACCTCGGGGCTCTCACTTTGGGGGTACAGATGCTACCACTGCACCAGAGCCCAGTCCTATATAAGGCAAACTCCGCTAGAGCGAAGTCAATCATTCAAATGCCCAGTGACAGAGCATCCATAGTTGGGAACTGGAACTGCAGCTAGTTCACGCTCGTCCCATTTCCAGGCCTCCCAGCTGTTCTCTGGTCCTTCCTCTTTTCCCACCTTCTCCCCACTTACAAGGACCAGTGTTGGGTGCTATCCCTGTGGAAAAGGGAAAAGGTGGAAATGTGGAAAGGCCTCCTGACACTGGTGCCTTCCCCTTCCCCACCTCATAGCTATCCCCCTGCCCAGACTACCCTCTAAATTATGGACAGCTTCCCCTGACCCCAGCCTCCCTGGTATTCTTCCCAAGCCACTATGCAAGGGGGCTCTCTCTGGTGTGAAGGACTCCCCAGTCCTCATCTGTCAGGAAAATCCTCATCCATCCTTCACAGCCCAGCAGGATTATTTTTGCTTCTAGAAACATTGCCTAATACACCCTCAGCTGGGCTATGGGCTCTCTTTTCTGGACCAGCTTGGGACCCAGCATTCAGCATGTCTTACTGAGCTGTGTTTGTCCTGGGCAATAGCCTTCTCTGGGTCCTAAGAGCAGAGGCAAAGACTTCTATTGTTCCCTTTTGATTTCTGATATGGGTGGGTGTGGTTATGTGTGTGTTGTCCTGTACATACGTGTGTGTTGTGTACATGTGCATATACACACATGAATGTATGTGTGTTGTGTGCGTTGTTGGGGATGAAACCCCAGCCCACATACATACACGGTGTGTGTTCTATCTCTGAGCCACATCCCAGTCCTTAGTGTTCCCTTTTGAATCCTCAACACTGAATTCTAGGGCCTAGCAGCTTTTAAACCTTCTTTCATGTTTTAGAGAGAATGATGGAAGAATTGAAAAAAATTCATGAATGGATGGATGAATATGAGTGAAGTTAGCACTTCAAAGACACAGAACAGAAGCTGCAAATGTTGCCAGAAGGATGGAAGAAGTAGAGTGTGAGACCGTGGGGGAGAAGTGAGCGTGAACAGCTACAGCCCAGGGTCCTCTGATTTTTCCGTTAGAAGAGGAGGCGCTGCTTCTTAGGATCCTACAAATCCACCAGAACAAGGGAAATCAATACTCAAAGAGGCAGAGCCAAACCAGCACGTTGTAGCAAATGGACAAAGGTTTGAAACCAGCCCATGAAGTCGCATCACCTGTCTGAATGCCTCATTTGGAACAGGTCCAGGTACACCCAAAACTTGTCCCCAGAAGGTCAAAGCTCCGTGGGACAAGTAAAAGCTAAAGAGTAAAGCAGCCTGGTGCACTTCACTGGTGCATTTTTGTTTTTAAGAGATATTAATTCAGTATTCGGGAGTCTGAGAAGAAAGAAAAACCCCTGAGCTTCCAGTGGGTAAACAAAGATAGGCTCTGTCACCTTGTGGCCACCCACTGTCCTGCGCATTGAGGGATAATAGAAAACCATTTGTGACCTTCTCAAGGAGAGGAAGCCACGTTCCTAATTCCGATTTTCCCCAGAGTCGTCCCCATCGCTGTACACACCCTCCTCCTCCCCTGCTAAATCCACTCTCTCCCCCACACAGGAGCAGCTGTGTTCTCACCATTGGAATGACAGAAGGTCTCTTCTTGCTGGATGAAGAAGAAAATGTTTATCACTCACAAGTTCAATGTATGGTTTCCTAGCAACTTCTTGTGTAACTATTGTGCAATAATATTTATTCTCTCGCTCTCTCCCTAACTCATGTCCTCTCCCTGACCACCAAGGACTCCTTTCCGGTTCTAACAGACCACACCAAAAGAATGAGGAAAAACCGGAAAACGCTTCTTTGGAGAATACAAGTGAACATACAAAGGTGAACTCACAAGTCTGCATATGTCATCCGAAGGATTCATAAGAAAACTGCCCTTGGACCCCATTAATCATTCTGCCTGCAAAGAGATTCAGTGAAATTTGTTTAATATCATATATCATCTTGATAACTTGATCACTTGACATCCCGCTACTCATCCATTTGCTAGAGCGGGCACCAGTAACGTCTTCATTCGTCCCTGTCACGTGCTAGTGTAGCCCAATGGCATCTGCTCAGGCCTAGCATCTTTTAAGCCTTCATGTTTAAGCCAACAAAGAGACTCAAACTGATCGTTCAGGGTCTTGATGAAGAAGTCTGACCATCTCGTGGGTGGGCAGCCAAGAGATCTTTTGACATCCCATCCCGTGGAATCCAATGAGTAATGGCTCTAGTCCAGGGTCATCTCCAAATCTCATTACATGTTCAGCCCATCTGATTTTCGACACCTTGGCAAATGACAGCATCCCTAATTCTTGATTGTTGATGGAGGTCGGAACTCCAGATTCTTTCTCTCACTTGAATGAAGCGTGATACTCCAAGTAGAGCTCTCTCTCTTTGGAAGACCTGAATAGTGTTCTCATCCTGTTTGCGTAGGGCCCAGTTCTCTGAGGCATATGTTAATGCAGGAAGAACAGTGGGATCAAAGAGTTGTGCCTGGAGCTGGAGCTTCCTTGTCCTCTTAGCTATTTCTTCGAGGCTCTTGAAGGCGTTTCAAGTCACTCTCTTCCTCCTGCACAACTCAGATGCCAGGTCATTTGTCATGTTGACTTCTTAACCTAGGTACACATAACTGTTGCATCCGGATATGTTTGTTCCTTTGAGAGCAAATAGAACATCAGGAACGAGACTGTTTCTCATAAACATTGTCTTCGAGAGATTCAGCTGTAGTCCAACCTTTCCACACTCATGGTCGAAGTAGGCCAGCATTTGTGCTGCTTGGCTAATGTTTGGTGTTATTTGAAGGATGTCATCAGCAAAGCAGAGATGTAGGTGGTGTAGTTTCCGACTGTCTATCTTCACTCCCATTGCTTCCCATTCCAGTTGTTGCATGACGTTCTCGAGGGTGGCACTGAAGAGTTTCGGTGAAATGGTATCACCCTGCCGAACCCCTCTCTTGATGTTGATGATCACTTCCTTGTAGAATGGTGAAATCTTGGTAGTTAATCCTTAATACAACTG